TATAAACAAAAAAGCTCAGCAAAAAACAGACACAAACTACAGCGTACCTTACACACATCATAAACAAAAAGAAACATTTGTAGACAGCGACACAATAGTGTTGTGAAGCATAGTGCAAAGAATGCTGGAATAAATATTTGTCTGTTATAATGTACATGAGGTAGGTTGATATGATATATACAGTATATAATATCTTGAGTGCCACAGACAAGGTAGAGAAATCAGCCGGGCTAATGCGTTGTTGGATTTGGTGTTTTCGTGGGATTTGTTGATAATAATAAAAAATAAAAATGTCAGCCTTTTCCTTAAGATGATCTGAGCATGAGAGCATCTTGGTAGTGAATGACGCAGCGACACTGCCATGCCTTAGGAGCTTTGTTGAATTGATGCTCCAGCAGCTCCTGTACCTTGTGTTTCTTTTCAACCTCTCTTTCTCTGTCAATTGCTCTCTCTCGTGTCTGGCATCTCTTCCTCTTCTCCATCATTCCTCCCGAGGCTCCCGTGTGTTGGAAATGGCACGTTGACTTCCACGTGAAGGCTTTTGTATTCGCTGGGCTGCCTGCCTGCCTGCCTGCCTGCCTGCCTGCCTGCCCGCCCGCTTGCCTGGCATCCTCTCTGTGACCCACGTCTGCATGGCCTCAGTGGCAGTCTTACCATCCGCCCTCCCTCATTTTCTCTATCTCTGTTCCTCTCTACACGCCTCTCTGTCACTCGCTGTCTCCTCCACAGCCGCTGGATCACTCACTGGCCTGGCCATCGGTGGTGAGAGAGGAAGAGATATAGGGATTGAAAAGGAGAGAGTAGTGGGGTACCTAAAGGCTGCAGCTGCTGTTTATTCACTTAGCTTCGATTGATAACCAAGCGTTTGGCTCTAACCTGTCTGTGAGAGGAACCACAGTGCATTTCTGTGAGGCAATTACACGAGTTTCCTTGAGGAAAGCCAATAGCTAACCGCTTATACCATACTATTCAATTATGTAAGAAGACAGAGAGCCTCTTTCTCTTCACTGCTTTTCTGTTCTATGGAATTAGAAACACACAGCCTTGTTATTTTGGATTTGTAAACGTGTGAACTGTCAGGTTCACAGTAATCAATGTTAGAATTTATGGTTGGCAATTCGCTACAGCCAAAGCTATTTTTGGATTGGAGACACATCTTTTTCTATCTTCTATTATAATAATTAGAAGATAGGAAAAGAGTCGCACTCAGGGCCTCACACCTTGCCATACCCAGTCGACACCATGCATATGCCTCCTGCCCTCATTGCAGCCAAAAGCCTTCAAATCAATTCTTCACCTTCCCTCATGTTCTTAAAAAGCATGACTGCACACAATAAGGCCCAAGCCTCTATCAAAGCTGGGTTGCCCTAGCAACAAGTTACGTAGAAACAGTCTGGGCGAAGGCGCTACCTCAGAGGAGAGGCGGGTGCCTGAGAGTGGAGGTGGAGACTAACAGGAAAATTTTAGCCAAAACAATATGTCTCAAATGGATTACACATTTCTGTTTTGCTTGAATAAATGACCACCATAAAGGCATAAATGTACCATGTGCAGGAGAGCCATTGCTATGTCTCTTATAAATAAAAATGTTGCTGTTACATAATTATAGACCACAGCATCAGCTAACAGACATTAGTATTACACACAAGTGCTTTACTGTGGTTGTGTCTGCAGAGACAAAGAGCCCTTGGGTGTATGGATGGTCTCATCTCCTGTCAGCAGGGATGCTGGGACGCAGCCAGACAATCAGCCTGCATGATCACAAAGGTTTACTCATGTCTTCCAAACACATTCTGCACACACACGCCCTTCATTATACACCCCACATCCACAGGTTAGTAGCAGTATTTGAGATGATTAATCCAAAACTAATTCAAGAGGTGTTCATTTTTCGTCAAATCACTCCCTACCGCTGTATCAGCATCGAGAGAACACTGGGTGTGTCCGAGTCAAACTCCTTACAAGGTTTACAACTGAAAGTTATGTGCAGGAATGTGAAACCAGAACCGCCAAATCATGCTTCTAGACGCCACATTTACGTAAGTTAATGTATTTATATAAATATTGTTGTCAAAAAATGTATTTCGGCCATTTTCTTTGTACCAGACATAACAAAGAAATTCTCCTGTTGGAGTAGGAGCATCATGTGGGGTGAATGATAATCCAGTGAGTGTCTCCATCTGCTGCACACCCACAGGAACTGCTGCATTATGTAACAGGAGTGTACTAACATGGCCATTCTGGAAGGAACAAAAGGAGTGCATGTCTTGCTGTGCTCCCTTCAAGTGCTACTTATGCACTCTTAATTTTACATTTCAGAGGATGTAAAAAATGATTACCGCCATTTCAAGTGCCTTTCATCAGAGATGGTGGATCTAATCAAATGGAACAGAGCTAGCTAATACTTGTGAGAAGAAGAAGAAGAAGAAGAAAGTGTATACATTGTTTTTGTTAATTCATTTGTCAAAAGCTTAATACATTAAGTCTGCAGTCACTAAACCACCACCACCATCATTATTATAGCTACATCATGTGAAACTCGGGCTTTCCCTTTGTGTTCACTGATTTGGTTGGCCATGCTTGTGGTGTCAACCTGATATGAAATCTGGATTATCTCTGCACTGTTGCAAAAAAAGGGTGTGATAAAAGGGTGTGTCTGGTCAGCTGATTCAGGTAAAATAAGTATTTATTTTATGTATAATCACTTGTAGTTAACGGTTTGGCCTAAGGGTGGCGCTACAGAAAAACTCATGGAGAAACTAAACTGGAAAGGAATTATCCTCTGGGTAGCATGAGGCCTCTTATGGCAATTTGTCATTTAAATTTAAAAAATTTTGTGTAAGTGACACTCCAAAGTCCTTGTTTTAAGTCTTACAGACAAGTAAAATTCATGCATTATGAATTTTACCTCATTTACCTGATGCAATCATAGGTACATTAATCTTATCTAATGAGGGTCTAAGGACCAAAATGCTTCTAATACAGTGAGTTGAAGTGATTGACACCATGTTGGATTTATTTTTTGGTTCTTTCACTTGTGTAGAAGTGAAGTATTTGGCCTGATGTTGCTTTGACCTGACGGCTGCATGAGACACAACGTCTGCGATGTCAGCACTAGTTTTAGCAGTCCTCCCTTAACAACCATAGTAAAATTTGTGTTAATCTGGCAGGAATTGTAAAGATATATTGCTTTCACAGTGGTGCATGTTAGAGAAAGTAGTCCCTGTCCCCTACATTACCCACAATTCAACATGCCAGTTTAAGGGACAGACAGGTGAGGGAGTCTAGTGTTTATGAATGTAGCAGCTAATGTAGCTTCAAGCAGTGATGAGCAGCGGGCTGGTGGTCTGGTGAGCTCACTTCTTTCTAACTCCACACCAACTGATTTTCAAATGTAGTCTTCAGTCCTCACCGACGCTGACTCAAGTGACATCACTTGAGGACATTGATCAGACTTCATGCAGCTCCCTCTATACAACTAGACAACTTTTTTCACATATCAGTAGTGCAACACCTATAAACAGACTTAGATGGACATAACTGCAGTAATTGAGTTCCCCTCTAACTTTTGCTTTCACAAGTCTTTCGGCTTTACCTGCCGAGTAATAATAATCGTAGCACTCAAAATGTAGGTTTTTTTGCAACAAAATGAGTTTACAGTGGTGACAGCTGGGGCATTCATCAGCTACTGGTCCATTAAGACAAAAATGTTTACAGCCATGCTAGCAGCTCTGTGAAGCTGTATGTAGTACTGTGGTGCTTATGAGCTAAATGCTAATGTCAGCATGTTATGCACACTAAGGGCATGAAAACATGCTAATATTTAGCTGGTAATGTTTTCCATGGTCATCTTAGTTTAGTGTGTTAGGATGTTTTGCTAATCAGCATCAAGCACAAAGTACAGCTGAGGCTGACTTTAATATTGCAGGTGTTTAGGCTGGTATTAAATAAACCAAAGTGTTGGACAAACTTTGAACTGCTGGTGGCCTAGATAAAAAGGCAGGGGATCAATAATGTCTGTAGGCTTTATCTTTATCTTAATGTCTGTACAAAGGTCCATAGCAATCCATACAAAAGTTCTTAAGCTATTTCAGTTTGGACCAAAGTGGTGCATTGACCTTGCCCTCCGCTGAGATCTGTCACCAGCGTGGCTAAAAGCGCCATTTAAATATTATCCTTATTTCTAATAATGTATGCCAAAATGTGAAATGGCCTTTCATAGAAATGACACTATTCAAAACACAGACATTTATGTAAAGCTTGTGGGTTTAATATGGCAATATTCACCTCCAGATAGAATCAACATAAGGGATCCAATCCAGCAAAGTAAAATATATGCACCACTTAGTGATCAGGACACTACAAAATCCACCTCTGATTCATCAACCCCCAGAAAGTGTAGATCATATAGCTTCAGATAGACCATAAACCCTTTCCCATCAGCATTAGAAGTAGTACAGCATCAAAACAGAGGCTGGGCAGCAGCACACCAGGCTTTCCTTGTTGCATTTGTGAAACATCCACATAAAGACACAGCCACCGGCAAAACATCTTCAAATAGAGACAATTACAGAACATCATTTCTTTTTGGGTACAGTATGTGAATAAAGTCTGTTAATCATACAAGCAGCATGTATGACGCACATTATACTACAATACAGTACAGTATTTACACAGTAGCAGAAAGTGGCTAGCTGACAAATGTGGACTCTCGCTGCGTTTCTCACTCTCCGTCTTGCATCCTATTCACAGCTCTGCTTATGTGTTGATGACTGTGAACAGACTTTTCTCAGTGCGGAAAACGGGCTGCCATTTCCGGCACTCAAAACACACTGTGGTGTTGCTTGATGCTTGCTCCCGCGCCCAGTCAGCGGGCATATGCTGCTGTTGCTATAAGAAGCAAGTGCGAGGAGCCTCGCGCTGCAAAAAAACAAAAGCCCTCCTGAAGTTTACACAAAACTGACTGAACGCGTTTCCTGACAGTATACAGTAGGAGTGCAGAATGTTACAAAAGTGTTTATTCTTTCATTTAGAGTTCAAGCAGTAAAGATGTGTTATGGTCTCTCCTATTAAAACAGGAAATATCAGTAGCCCAGAATGGTCAACAACAGTACTTCACAGAGAAAGAACACAACACAGGTTTTTGGTTGTGAACTGCCACTAGGCACATTTTCAGAGGTTTGGAAAATTAAGAGATGTTTAAAAGTAGATTTGAGTGAAAAAAGGAAATCTTTGACTTTTCTCAGTATTATAATGAAGCAGCGTGTAGATTGCTGGCAGTGTGACCCTATTCTCTAATGGAATGTTTCAAGATGTGGACATAGCTCCAACTTAACGTCTCACATTATATGAACACCTAAAAAAAATTTATGGAATCCCTGGTCGTTGTTGCTAGGATCAAAACAGTCTTGAGATGAGGGGTAAAAACTGTACATTTGTATACTGTACAACAGCCTCCGATTTGAAAACACACAGTAATCATACACATTTAGTGTAAAAGCAAGACAACACAAGGAGCTCCCAGTTTTATTAAATCTACAGTTTTCTCATGTCATGTGTTATTTCTTGTGTTATGTGCCATTTTGTATCCAGCTGGATTAAAAAGCTTTGAGCCACTAAAGGCTGCTATCAAACCCCTCCTACTATTGTAAAATAACACACATCACTATAAAACAAAAATCAGCAGGAAATTCAAGGACATGGTACATATTACAGTTTGACTTATGAGAACCTGTTTTTCTTTAGTTTTAAATAAATCATACAAAAATAGTAGTGTACATTTTACAATCTGTCATGGTCCCGTTTATTCTCAGTGTAGCGTCTGCGGTGAGTGTATAACTCAACTATACACACACACACACACACACACACACACACACACACACACACACACACACACGCGCACACTCACTGGTTCATTACTAAGTGATGTCTGACTCTTTTCAGATAGTGCTGAGTGCCAAACAGTCCTAAGCTCCTGGCTCCAGTCCTTGGGGAGTCGGTCCGTCACTCTCCCTCCGTGGCTCAGCTGCTTTCGCAAACACGCTGCCTCTCCACAGATAATCCCTACTTCTCCCCCAGGTCACCCTATATTTTGTTTCTCATCCCGTCTCTCAGGTTATCTTTGCAGGTCTCCGGGGAGGTAAAGAAAAAACGAGTCCCTATGATCCCTCTTTGCCCTCTGAGCTCTCCGGCGGCGCTGGAGGCTCCTCCGCCGTCGGTGACTGCGCCCCTCCCGGACCATCTGCACACAACACAAGAAGAAATATGTAAAAAAAAAATAATAATTAGACTGTCAAAGCTATTGCTGATCAATACCAATGAGATAATGATTATTACATCACTACGGTAGGTGCTGAAATGTTTCGCTTGCAAGTCATTTTATGGCTCCTGCTGTTTGAAAAAAACACAAAGCCAGTTTCAAAACCCCCAAAAGTAGCATGGCACCAAGCAACACCTACATCTGGGACTCATTTGGGGCTATAGAGGGAAAATGTATGGTGTGTCCAGAACTCCAGTATCATAGATAAACAAGTGTAACGTAACAAAATGTTGTTAGTTAATTGGCAATAAAACTATAGAGCCTGCGCAGTCTGCAAGTCAAGATTTGAGAGTGCACAGAGATATGCATGTAAGGATAGTTAGTAAAGCCAGAACTGTTATATATATTTGGATTATGCAAGACCAGAGCTGGGCCCTAGGGAGCAAATGTTACAACTGGGTAGCTAGCAGTGTCATGCCTGAGTTTGAATTAGAAGTGGGGCGTCATCATGTTGAATTAGGATATTTCCCAGTGTGTGCCATCATCTTTTCTTTGTCATAAAAATATATATATACACACATATATATACATACATACACACAGCCACATTTGGCATGTTAAAGTTCATAGCAGGCAAACTTTCATTAGCTGTGCATTCCAGTACTAAAAAAAGAACAAGATTGACAGATTTGTGCATGATATCAGGACTTGCACTACAAATTAAATATTCAAGTTGTATAGTCTGAATATGCCATGTGATCAATATTGTAATAATGAAAAAGAAAACCTTGTGTATCTTACCTTCGAGGGACAGCTCAGCCAGCTTAAGAGGCAGGTCGCCAGGGTTTACGCCTGCAGGAGAGCCCAGGATGTCAGGCAGTGCATTTCTCCTCCCCGAGCGCCCAGAGGAGGCAAAGTCCAACACTGGCTCTACTTCCGTCATCTCAGGACCCCTCTATGATAAAAAGCGGGACACAGTACAATGTTACATGTATGCCTGCCCTTCAATGTAGTGCTCTACAACAAGAAAGCAAGAGTACTGTTTGGAGAGCTTAGCAGTTCTGTACAGTAAGGACTGAAAGCACCGCCTTGTTTGTTGCAATATGAAAACCTGTAAATTAGTGTAAAAGGAGTGTTTTATGAAAAAACATACGTTTCACCATAAATTCAGCAGATCTCTTTCTATGCTAAAGTGCTCTGTGATCTCAGCTGAATTATCAGTAGCTATACAGTTAAAGTATTACCATATTAACTAGTCACCATGTTAACTAGTTGCTTGTTGCGAGTGTGCTGGACAGTTAAGTAGCTAATAGCAAAGGAAACAAAGGTAACAATTACAGTACCACCCACTCGCACAAATAAGATGAGGCTGAAAGTCTCTAACTTGTAGCTCAGTTAGCATGCATGGAAAACCCATCTGTAGTAAAGTAACTAATGTGTAAAGGAAACATTAAGTCAACTCAACATTATTCACTGTTTTTCCCTGTAAATCATCAAGGTTATTCATGAGATTAGCTGAAATGTTTCAATATTATTGGATTGTTTTGCTTGGTTTTTCAAAATGACAGAGTTACTGTAGCTACAGCTAGCTAACTGATCTATTGGACAGTTGGATAGTTAATAGCAAAATAGGCAGACTTGTTGTAATGTTGAATAATCAGTGCAACAAATGCATTTCAGCCTGATTTAGAACAGATTGGCATACATCACATGAGGTTCAGGGTCTAATTTCTATGACCATTAAATAAGTGAGCTTTCGTCATGTTAGCATGAAAACCCCTGTGCAGTAGGCTACAGTAAGTAAGCACATTTTTCATTATCTTCACTAAGCCGATGTAGTAACTTTAATGACATTCTAATTATATCACGCTGGAAATGATTGATATGTTACATTATGAGTAACACAGAGCACAGCAGTGGCCATTTATCTTGACGTATCTCAGAAAACAAAATGTACCTAAACTGTTTAGTGATTTGAGCATCAAGAGAAAAGATTTGTCATTGAAGCGGAGGATGTGTCTGTCTGGTCTCATGGCAACCAGCAGCTGGGGAACCAGCTCCAGGCTACGCTGGTGACAGGCAGAATTACATCCCTTGTCTCACACACACACACACACACACACACACACACATACAGCGAGCTGGTGTTGCCATGGCAACACAACAGAAAAAGCACCACTGGCAGGTAAACATATGACTAAACTCCATTCTCTCACTATCTCACTTTCTCTTCCCAGACTCCCTCTTTTGTTGTGTTGCCTCGCTTTAAATAACCATACCATTCTGTGGAGCAAAATCCCATTTCCCCATCGCTCTCATTCAACAAAGGAATGACATGTGAGTTGATACGTACTTGCAGCTATAAACTCACACACTCGCAGGCGAGATCTCTAGAAAAAAGGGCCACAGGTTGGCCATCTGTTAGCCTCAAGCGCTATTGTAGCTTAGCCATTGAGCTCATATAGGCCAAAGTACAGCATTGTAGCCTATTTTTAAAAACAACTCCATGAACATATTTCCTCCAACACTTTTGCATAATCGCATGTTGACAACTAAGCCCATGACTCTGCACATAGAGGGAGGAATAGGCAATGCAGGGTAAATACAATGAGATTGTAGCTTTTGCGTGGCTTTGTTAGATTAAAAGATGACAGACGCAGCATTTTTGAACTTTAATATGTAATCATCTAAATAACTGTGCTGTCTAAGATTACCATAAATGATTGATAGTTTTCATTTCAAAGCATAAGTACTGTTTTGAAATCTATAACCACATTACCCATTCACCCTATGGCCATCCTCCCTCTCAACATCTTTGGATTTAAATACTGAGATCATGAGTCCTCCAATGCACCCCCTACCACCATCAGAATCATTTGACCAGAATCCAAAAAGAAGTTTGATATAAGTATATATTTGTCTAATTATTTCATAGTTTGTGCATTCAGTTCAACTATGCTTTCTTGAATTTTTTTCCTGATATAAAAAGGTCTAAATAGTGTTTCAACTTCAACTCCACACTGTTAGAAATGCAATTCTGAAGCCTTTATTCATTTATGATTTTGTTGGCATCAAAGCAGTCAAATTTATATTCACAGAATCAAAACTGGAATCAGCCTATACCATGTCACATATTTAAAAAAATCAAGTTTGAATAAAGTTGAACCACCATGCACGCAATCCATGTAGATCCTAAAGTACAGTGTACAATTGACCTTCTGCTCGTAAGCGCTGCCTCACATCAGTGACAAATTAACTCTTACTTTAAGGCAGTTGCATTTTACAGAGTCTGCAAACAGCCTCCCGTTTATGTTTCCAAACATTCCTTCCTTAAGCTAGTTGACTCCATTTTTTGTTAGCAACAGTGGATCTATGAGTGTTTCCATCCACCTGTTTTTATGTGCATTCTCAATTTGTGATTGTTTGAGGTCTGAGTGAAGCTCTTTTAATTACATCATCTCATTACGTCCTCTTCTTCTGCAATGTTTAATGGCACCCAAGTGGATAATTTGTGCCACCAATTGTTAATGTGAATGCACCAACTCCTAATTTGCAAGTCATAATGAATGGGTCAAACAGTTGAGAGGACAGTAACAGTGACAGCCCTAATCCACCATGAGTACGTTTTCAATTGCAGAATGTGAACTCCCCCATGTTGCTAAAAACCCCAAATGTACATAAAATACAGTGGATGTGGCCTCAATGTCCTCTACGGCCACTGTAATTTCAGGTCTTTAAACTGAAGTGCCCTCTCGCGAACCATTCTGTAGTGGCAGTAAACTTGGCCTTTCAGTAGGATCTTACTGTAGGCGTTCCGGGAGGCTAGAAGAAGTGTTCCAGTTTCCCTTCTCTGGCCCCACATGTCAAAGATGCTCTTTGTCCTGGATGGCCACAGTTCAAATGAAAGTTCGACAATAGGAGTGTAATCAGGGTTCCCTCAGGAACACTTTGGCTAAATCAGGACAAAGATCATCTCGCATTCCTGCTTCAGTCTGACAAGGTTATTATCAAGAAGAACAAATCATTGTCAATGAAAAGCTAGGATTCGTCTGTTAATCTGTGCAATTAAAACTAGAATGTGGCTGAAATATATTGTTAGCTTTGTTTTAGTATTAAATGGTGCTTAGAGGATTCCCTCTTTAGTTGTTGTGTAGAAATGATGAAAACATACAAAAAGTACCAAACATTGGCTTTCAGAAGCCTTAATACATAATTATCAGTGTCAATAACCTCCACCGTTAGTACAGTCCTAATTAGAACATTGGTTTGGTAACTTTTACTAAGCCATCTGATTAAATATTAAACAGGCAGTGACCCATCATCTGAACAGGTTATTTTAGTTGATAATCCAACAACAGTTAAAATAGGATTATCTTGTCAAGAAAATTGACCTAGATACTATGATGCCTGCGCCGGCTCAGTCTGACACGGGAACAAGCCGCAGGTATGTTATGCAACAAGGCAGAGTTATAAAAGCCTTTTGACTGAAGAACTGTCAAAGGTTAAGAGTTGTTCACAACTGAAATGGTGCAAAGGTGCTGAGTAACAAAACACACAAACATAAAAGGCTACCTTTCTTCTTTTCTTAAAACTGTGAACATGTGACGGCTCTGCAGGATTCCCCAATGTCCTGGAAAATCTGGAAAAAAGTTGACCAATTTTCCAGTCATGGAAAATAAAAGGAAAAATAAAATGCCCTGGGAAATTTTGTGTTGTCCTGGAAAATTCTTTCAACATTGCCCTATTTTCCTCTAGCTGAAAATGAATAGTTAAATAGTTAACTATTCTAAACTAAAACATTTTAGTTAACTAAAAACTAAAATGTAATTTATTTTAGTTAATTATTATTTTAGTTTAGTTAATAGCTGTAACAGTTAACTAAAATAGTTAAAAGTTATATTCAGGATCATAGTAATGTTCAAATGGTAATTTTTGGATGACAGTCGGGTCTCGGTACATGTTGTGGAAATGCTATGAACACACAGATGCCACATGCAGGTTGGATGACATTACAATTTAAGTGGCCGAAACACTAAATAATGTCACTATTAGTCACTGCTGGCTGGTAAGTACTGTAGTTTTTTTTAGTTGAATAGATAAACGCTGCTTTCTTCCTAACTTGGTTGAATAATGTTAAATTGGTTAGCATGGTTTAGTTCAGTTGCCAATGTTGACGTGCTTGCTAGCTTGTTTTGCCTGCAAAGGTTTAAGTTTTGTGATTCCACTATGACTAGCAGCAGTGGTGTGGGGTATCATTGAGAGAGATGGATAATAATGAATGGGAGTCCAACTACGGCAAAATACTTGCTAACGTTGTCATTACATTGCTAGCATTGTCTCTTCAAACGCACACTGGATTGTTGGGGTAAAATGGACCATAACGTACAGCGGTAGCTCACAGTTAATATTACTAGTAAAGGGGCTGAAGAAAGGTGCAATAAACTAATAAAGAGTCAGTGGCAGTTAACAATCCTAGTCCACTCTACGATCTCTGAATCATACATTAAGGTATATATATTTGTCAGAAGGCAAAATTGTAATAAATGGATTACTGGTATAAATGAACAGCAGTGATAATGGTACATTTTATTTACAAAGCACTTGCCAAGCATGGAGAACAACGGGCTTTCCAAAAGAAATAAATTAGAATGCCAGAAAAATAAATATATTAAAAAAGAACATTTAAACAATATTATATATATATATAGCCTATACATAACATATTAGTGTATGGCGTGATTCCTGTTCACCAGCTAGATAATCATTGAAAATGTCCTGGAAAAGTCCTGGAAAATGATCTCAAGAAAAGAGTGGGAATCCTGGTCAATTAAATAAGAGCTCATTAATACTGCAAATTGCTACCTGGGCTATTTCTAAACACAGTGACCTCTATAATTTAGTAACAAATTCTACAATATCTACTTGAAACATCCTCTATCTTGCAGGGCCACTATG